AAGGATGGTTGGGGGGATATCATATAGAAGCAGTGGGAGTGTGTTCAAATGTTGTCATGTCTTATTTCCCAACTTAGTTTTAATTCCTTGTTTTCTAAAATTACTGTAGCTGTAATATTTAATATTTTCAGTTTTCTCCCTCTTGCCTTCCCATCTTTCTCCTGTTTCTAGGGGAAAAGAACTAAAGAAAAAAATAATCAAAGTTAATCAGAAGAATGTACCAAATCTAAAGTAACTATTTAATTCAGGATAGGTTTTATGAAGGTGAAAGCAGGACCTCTGTAATATTTTCTTTTCCATGGCTAATATGTTTGAATAACCCGAGTGACTGTTGTGGTCTAGGACAGAAGTGAAGGCGGTATTTTCATCCTTTTTAGCATATTTCTCTTATTTAAAAGAAATATGAAGAAAAATGCCACTTTTCTTTTGAAATGAGTATAACAGTAATTAATCAGTATTTCTTACTCATAAGCTAACCATGCACACAATGAACTAGATATCTTAAAGACAGATTGTGTACTGAAGTTATAGATTTTTTACAAGTCTTAAGGAGTATAACATCTATTACAAGCAGATACTTAATTTTTAGTTCTGTCATGGTTTAGGAAAGGTAGGTGGTTCTTTTTCCAAGATAGTATTTGTGAATCAGTGCTGATTGTTACTATTTTTCCTCTTTTCTAGTTTTTAGGAGACTTTATACTTGCTGTACTAGGCAGTCTTATTTTAAATACTATGAAGTTATTCATATTCTAAAAAAATCACCGCCACAATATTTTCTAATATGAAATGCCCCGAATAATGTCTTTAAGATGTGGGAGTTTTCCCATGGTTCTTTAATTCACTGGAGTGATAGTTCTTTGTCATAAAGACAGTCCTGTAAAAACTCAGCAATAGCTATTCTTGTGAAGAGTCACTGTAAGTCTACCAGTCCTGGCTGGTAGAAACGAAGAAAGTGTGAGTAGGGTAGAAGCAGAAAGAGAAAATACTGACTGAACCATCTAGTATCTGTTGCAATTAAGGTAAGAATGCCTCCATACTATGTGCAACAACAGTACTAGGAAAAATATTTGGAAAAACCGGAAGCAGTAAAGGCCTGTGTTCAATATTGGACTTTGCAGATAGCCTAAATTCAGTGCAAAATAAATTATTTAAATTTATATTCCCCTGGGAGAATCATGTGCAGTCTTTTTTGTGTATAAATATCTGATGATGATGATGGCAAATCTATTTTCTAGTTATGGGTTATTAGAATTATGACTTTTACTTCTGTAGTTAAAATAGGAAGTTCATGTACTCCTCAGATTGCTTGGGGGGAGGCAGCCAGTCTAGACAGAACATAATTCCTTTTGGTTTTAATCATTTACATCCCAGTAAAATCCCCTTATTGAGTTCTGTTTTTGAAGGCTCAGGAGGATTTATAAGGATTATAAAGATCCTAAATGAAGCCACTGTACATGTAATCAAACAATGAATTGGACTGAGTTGTCTGTGCTCCTGAAATAGCCGCTACTAAGCTTTTGGTGCCTAACTGGAGCTTTGTTTTCAAAAGAGAGGGCTTAGGTGTTCGTCTATGGTAGATGCTCATTTCCATGAATCTGCCTCTGTATTACACAGCATTAATGGTGAGAATCATAATTCAGTCACTTCAACTTATCATAAATGTTCTGCCTTACATGTGTTACCTTTACACTGGTGAAGCAAACTTCTCATCCACTTGTAGTTATAAGGTTTTATGGTTTTTATCTTGTATTTGTATTCTATTTTGAGCAATCCAATGAGAAGAAGAGTGAGAAAGGGAGCAATATTTGTAGTACGATCTACTTTTTCTGGTTTGATCTTATCTGTTTAGTCACAGTTTTGACAGTCCTGTTTCATTCAAGTTATGTTGTTAATAAAAAAAAAAGTGTGGAGCTATATTTGTATGTTCTATTAGGTCTTGATGTTTATGCATGGGCTACAAACTTCTTTCCTTTGTTGATTCATACATATTTGAATTTCTTTTCAGTGTGGGTTTTTTGGATTTTTTTTTTTTTAAAGGAAATTCAAATAATTCAATACATGTCTTAAGTAATCTTTTTAATAGGTCTGATTCCCCAAATCATTTTCGTTCTGTGATAAATGAAAAGGATATTCCATTTTATAAGCTGACAACATATAAATAGTAATTATGTTCCTGCAGCATGTTGGTTGAATTGTTACAATTGAAACAATACTTCACACGCTGTACCTCATTGAAGCCAAGAAAATTTTAGAAACCATTTTGAAACTGCTAAATTCCTTGTCATTCCCATATCTGTTTTGAATATTTGAGTGATAAAAGTTAGAAAAAAACAAATTAAAAAATGTATTTTCAGATTATAATTGTTGTCTTGCCTTTTGCCTTTTAGAAATTAAAAACTTAGGAGTCATAATTCTACAAAATTTTTCATTTCTCTAATACTTTACTTTTAGTCCTGTTTTAAAAAGAAAACATTGGAAATGAAAAAAACCTTTTAGGTGATTGAATATAATAATAATCTTATTTGGAGGAGGAAACAGCACCTTCAGATTGTTTTTACATAAAGCTATTTTTATAAAAAAAAAAGAAGCAGCATCTATCAAACCACGGTCAGAAGAAATACATGCCATATCATTAGTAAAAAATGCAAAATATTAGACTGCATGGTCTTCAGAAGATGGGAGAACTAATAATGGGCTTTCATTGGAAATGCAGATGTCAGCTGTGGGTGCCTTGAATTGTCAATAATAATGTTAAACACAGGGTAGAATATCAGCCTGAGCTTATTCTTTATTCTCTTGAAATCATTAAAGCTAAGACAGTTGTGACATATGTTCTGCTATGGCTCAATAAGTGAAGATGTGTGTGGAACGTATATGCGTGTATGTGCTGAATTATTCATGTCTAAGTTACTGCTCTGGGGAAGCAAACGGAGTGTGCTTTGCTGGCAGGTAGACTTCAAACCATATCTCATGGAGGAAGAGAATAAACATTCTCAGTTTATCCTGGCCCAAACTAGTTACCAACTGTGTACGCAGGCCCAGGCATTATTTCTCTTTTTACTATAGCTGCATTGGGAAAATGCCAGATAAATATAAAATTCTAAGAGAAAGTACTTTTATGGGATTTAGCACCTACATACCCTGTTTTGTTATCTGTACTGCATCCACCTAGGTAAAGGACTTTCCATGTAAGTCTCACTGAATTTACTGAGCTGTAGCCACAAGGTCAACCTTAGAGGCAGGGGAAGGGACACTTAAACCTAGAGGGTGATGGTACCTCCTCAGGTGTGCCTTTCTCCTTGTGTGTCTTGTTGTTGTTGGTTGGTTGGTTGGTTTTTTTTAGTTCCTTTCAGCAAATAAATTGCCTTCCCCCGCCCCCTCAAGATAATGGATATTAAATGAGCTACAGACCCTGTTTTTTTAGTATTTTTAAACATTTATTTCTTTTGTGGTACACTAGGTTCTTATGTGATTTACTATGTATGGGTTCTGTTGGGAAGTTAATTTGAAATATTGTAAGTTTAAATTTAGAAATGTTCAACCCTGGGTGGATTTCAAAGTTCTGTAGAAATCTCATTTTATGTTTTGACGATGTGTGGAGGATTGTGTTAAAATCAAAATCATATTTTAAAGTGTCACATCTATTGCAAACCCACGTCATGCTGTGACCTCTTGGTGCAATGCACAGGGTTTCAACAGGTGAAGGGAATTCAACTGCTCAAGGAAGAGGTGTTGATTCAACAGATGACTCCTCTCTTGAGGCTTGTCTAAACAATATTTTGCTTCAGGATACTTTTTAATTACTGTGAGGGGGAAGTGTAACTTTCTAACATAGATAGGAAACACATGCTACTTGTTAATTTTGTTTTATCCTTTGCTAACAAACTTATTTTAGGTTAAAAATGTCTAGAACAGAAATTATCATCTAATGTACTCCAGTAACTACGCTGTTAGGCAGTGGTGACCCTCATCCTCCTCAGATAAGTAAAAACTTACATGTTGAAATAAAATCTCAAACGTCTGAATGCTTAAATTAATAAAACATCTATATTGCCTAAAATCATACTAATATTTGTTGCCTGGGTTTAGATTATATATACATCAATGTCTTCTTTTTGGACAACTTTTAAATGTGTGCTTTATATATGTCGTGGTTTAACCCCAGCCAGCACCTAAGCACCGTGCAGCCACTCACTCACTTCCCCCCCCAGTGGGATGGGGGAGAAAATCAGGAAAAGAAGTAAAACTCGTGGGTTGAGATAAGACCGGTTTAATAGAACAGAAAAGAAGAAACTAATAATGATAATGATAACACTAATAAAATGACAACAGCAATAATAAAAGGATTGGAATGTACAAATGACGCACAGTGCAATTGCTCACCACCTGCCAATCGACACCCAGTTAGTCCCTGAGCGGCGATCCCCACTCCCCCCAGTTTATATACTGGGCATGATGTCACATGGTATGGAATACCCCTTTGGCCAGTTTGGGTCAGCTGTCCTGGTTGTGTCCTGTGCCAACTTCTTGTGCCCCTCCAGCCTTCTTGCTGGCTGGGTGTGAGAAGCTGAAGAATCCTTGACTTTAGACTAAAGACTACTTAGCAACAACTGAAAACATCAGTGTGTTATCAACATTCTTCGCATACTGAACTCAAAACATAGCACCGTACCAGCTACTAGGAAGACAGTTAACTCTATCCCAGCTGAAACCAGGACAGGAATGTTTAGATTATTTTGCTTAACTTTAAAGGTATTTAGGTATTTAACTCATATATGCTTGAATACGTATTTTAAGTTTTTATCTTTCTATGAACTTTGATTTGATTAAACCTCTTACAGCCTGAGACGAATGCTTCAAAACCGAGTATTTGGCAAGAACATGTAGTGATTTAATACTATTTTTATGTATCTGTGTGATTCTAAATATTGTGTAAGGAAAACTGAGGCTGTTGAAATAATTTGGTGTTTGGTTTTAAACTGATTTTTGTAACTTGGCAGGGACAGCCTGTTGGAGACTGTGATTTTAATGTTCGACTTGCATGTATAGAGAAAGAGATTATATATCCACGACATGAAAAGATGAAAAATGGTCTTATCGACAAAACACAGGAACCATTCAGTGTTCGAAACAAACCGTTTTTCGATATCTACACTTCAAGAAAGGTAAAGTTTATTTCAGTTGTTATGTTGTGGTGCTGAAGGCAGCAAAGCAGTGTTGAGTATAGGTTTCCCTTAGCTTTTTTACCTTCCAGTGAGTTCCTCTGCTAACCAAGTGTTCAGCAGTGCTTGGGGGGTGATTGGCAGTTTGGGGTACTCTGAAAAGTGGTTTTAGGCTACCCATTCGTTCTGAATTACTATTTTGCCATGTTTAAAACCTGTACTTTGACAAAACATAATTCTTTAGTTTCATAATCTTGAGTGATGATATAGAAGTTAATAGCTTTAAGTCTGAAATGTCTCTGAGCTCAAGGGAATGCCTGAGAGCTATGTTGTTTACACTTTCCTCCTTCATAGGTAAGAATATAATCTTTTTACTTCTAGTCCCCATTTGGCCATAGTATAAGAATCATGAGTTGTGCCTGAACTCCCACTTCATGTTCAGCAGTGGTTACCAAGAGCCCATTCTACTTAACATCTCCACATTTTACTTATTAAAATACTGCCTTAGGTCTTCTGAAGTAATGCATATGACTTGCAAATATATATATGAGTTCCTGTCCTTCATTGTGCACTCTTCAGTATAGACATATCCTAACATTCTGTAAAACACTTTTATTCTCTTCTGTGAGTTAAATGGCTTCTGGATAATACTTTCTTCTAGAGGAACCCATTTTTCTCAGCACTGCTGTTAGAAGTAGTCCCGTGTCTCATCAACACACAACAATGAACATCAGATTGCCAGCTTCCATTTGCTTTTGTCATTTCCTTAACCCTGTAGCAGGTGATGAATCTCGCCCCAAGAGGAGCAGTAATTGTACTTTGGCTAACCAAGAGTGCCTGAAAAGTAAATAAGGAGATAAGGCACAAGCTGGACTTTAAAAAAAAAAAACTGGCAGAAAGTAGCAGTCTTTGGAAAGTTTAAATCATGAACAATTCTACCAGACGTTTGTGTGGATAAAGCACTTATAAATGTTTTGATTGCTTCTCTGTATTTGTGTTGTTGCATTTTTGGGTTGTCTATTTAAGATCAACATTGTAGATTTTGAAGTAGATTTTTCGGGGGGGGGGAAAGGCTGTTTGTCTAGGACACATAACTTTGAGCTTGAAATTAAAAGAAACAAAAAGGAACACATCTTAAAAATGGTTTCTTAAATAAATCTATAGTTTCTTGAAGTGTTCTGAAGTTCCAGGTTATTCAACCTCATTTAAAATCACAGGAAGAACATGGTTGGAAGCATCCTAGAAAAATTTCTAGGTAAAACACATCTGTAAACAAATCTCATGCTAGTTAAATCTAATTGCCAGCACATGACTATTGAAATGATCCTCTGCTTCCCAAAACCTAGGAAATTGAAATTATGCTCAACAGTTTTCTTTTTCCTGTCCTAAGGAGATTTCTGAATTGTCCATATGCATTCCAGTGTACTGGATTTTAACAGTTCTGACTGTGGCACTTTTTAAAGTCAGCAATGAAATAGATGCTATTTACAGGTCTTTCTCTGTCTATCTGAAAGCTCTGAACATAAACTCTCTAAGACATTGACTGTCTTATTACCCAGCAGTAAAACATCAAATATGTTGGTGAGGAAAAAAAAATTATACATGGCTAGAATTTGTTTCATGGTAGACTTATAATTGCTTTTGGTGCTAGTGCTTGGACAATATTTCTTTATTTTGTGCTTGTCTTTCCATCAGATTTGATTAACTTGTGAATTATGGAATGAAGCAGTTATCTTGCCAATTTTCTTTATTTCTGTGAAGAATATTCCTCTATACAGCAGTTGGAGATACACACAGAGAGCAGGAGGGGTAGAGTTACTGGCAGTCCAGAGCGAATAGCCAGTGTTAATTTTCTCTTATTTTAATAATTTCAAACATTTATGATTTATCTGCTCTGTGCATGTATTAGATCAAATTGGTAGGAAAATAAAGCAAGTAAGAGTAATATCCTGGGTTTTATCAAACTATATGTTTTGAAAGATTATTTCTTTAGCTAGGCCTTTCTTTGTCAGTTAACTCCCCCCCCCCCCCCCTTTGAGGG